TTTTCTCTTTTAGTCAAACGAATCAAGTGGAGATGATGTACCTAGTCCTAGGATTGGTGCACCTCCTCAGTCAATTTCTCCATCCAGTCAACCTATGCCAGAGTCAGATGTGTTACTGAAGCATCCTCTACCAGCTTCCCTTATGAGTTCTGCTGATCCACCTTTAACAAAAGATGATGATGATGTTTTCTACAGCTGTGGTGGCGCATCAGGCATTGATTCAAGTTTCAGTCCTAGCAGACAATCTCCAGTCATCTCTGAGTCTATCAGGGCATTATCTAGTTTGTCAACTAAAAGACCAGCAGAACATTCTAGTTCCATATCTGATGAAACAGAAGCTGAGGAGTCAAGCTCAGAAGATGAAAATGTCGCACTGCATATTGTTGAGTCCAAAAAATCTGATCTGGAACGCCAACGTCAAGAGGACTGTAAGGAGGGAACATCATGGAATTATGATGATGCTGGAAAGTTCCACGAGAGTCAACCAAGAAAAAGACGATCTAAACGAGCCAAATCTCCCACAAGCCTCAATGAAGATGAAAGTCGTAGAAATAGTTTCGCCACTCCCTCGCTGTTAAACTTAAATATAAGTCCGTCTGCGTTGGAAAATATTGAAAGCACTCCAACTCCAAACCATGCAATCAGAGACTGCTTTGTGGCCTTAGAACGGCTTCCAAGCAATATAATATCTGGCAATCCTCCAGTGAATTGTACGGACAAAAAAAAGAAATGCACAGCTCCAGGTAAATAAGTAATGTGACTTCTGAACTTTGTGCAGAAAAGGTTATTAATTCGTAATTCCAAGAAATGGTGACACAAGGGAATGTGTTCCCGTTGCTGTGGGTGTGTGTTGACTTTGTTTAATATCTTGTTAAATTTGTAGACATTTAGATTTTCACTACCCTCTCTATCTCTCTCTCTGTTTTCATTAGAGGTACCACCAAGGTACCACCTCCGCCCGAGAACAAAAGCTGCACCAGACAACTTACAGGAGCCAAAATTGGGACCGTAAGTAATGTGTACTTGGAAGCTGTAGTTTTGAGTAAATTATAAAAACTGAAGTGTATCTTATTTCTCCAGAAGGAAGAGGAGACAGTAACTTTTATCTATGGAAAGTCTTTCTTCCATTGTTTGGTTCACTCAGGAATTTTTTGTGAGTAAAATCAAATGTGCTCACAAGCAAAGACTAAATTGTTCTCCAGAAAACTGGAAACTTGAAATTGCTTTTTACTTTCAGGTATTATTTGTTAGTTTATACTCTGTTGGAGCACAATACCTTTGTGATACATCCTAACACTAAAATATTTTTAAAATTAGATGCACACTAAATGTGTAGCATTGGTTTTTATGCAATATAAATTTACTATCTCAGAATAGAATTTGATCATTCAGTTACATTTTTTATAATTTTGTTTTATTTTTTCATCTCTCAACTGTCCTTTGCCCTGTTTGCACCTTTTTGGCACCTCCAATACCTTACATAAAAGGTGATGAACCGCCAAGAAGTTGTTTTGACTATAAATGATTGCTAGTTACATGAGCTAATATATTGCTGGAAAGGTTTATGGCTTTATACTAGCAGCTTCCTGAGCCACACTTAGTGGATTTAACTTGGGACTTGGGGGACCAAAGGACTGGAACGCAGACTTGAACAAGAACTTTACCGACAGATGCAACCAACTTTATACCCTGAGTCTGACCATGGTTCTAACCAAGGAGAAAGTAGAGATTCTGGGGTTGAGCTTGATAACCATTTAAACTCTCACAATCTCCACATGGATTATTCACCTGAAGGGCATGGATTTGAGGAACATAGCCATCAGAATAATGATGTTAGTGTATATGGCCTGTATCTCAATCATAATCATGCTTATATGTGACTTATTTTAATCAAACTGAAATTTCTATGGTGCTTATCAGCTATTCGGGAACACAAGCTCAACTTCAGAAGAAGGTGAAATTATGAAGAAGGAAAGAGAAATAATTGAAATGCTAGAAAAAGAGGAACAGTGGCGTTATGGTACTAATACTATACTTTCACCCAGTCACCATCATCAAGTTGGTGGAGCTATAACTTATTAGAGTTTGATTAATTTTCCTATCGTTAGACTTTGCTGTAACCTAAGCATTTATTTGCACAGGAGAGAAACTCGCAGCAAAATTAAGAGAACTTGAACAAGAAAAGTTACGTCTTGAATGGGAGCGGGCTGAAGAGTCACGAAAAGTTGCTGCTGAACAAGCTGCACGTCAAGAGGATCAGAGACGCATTAGAGCCAAAGAAGAACAGCTCAGACAACAAGAGGTAGACTAATATGTTGATCTTTGTCTTTTCTTATTCTGTACATACATTTAATCAATCACCTCCCATAATTTCTTAACAGTAACACTTTTTGTATATATGTAGCTTTGTTAATAAAATTTTGATCTGCTAAAACCCTCATTAATCTAAGTAGATTTTTCTAACTTCATAGTTACTTTTAGCTGTGTTTTACATTCAGAATATTTTAACTTTATTACCAGACTGATGCGAGCTTTTTTTTTATGTACCTATGCTATGTTCCATTATTTACAGAGTATTGTTGGTAGGCTCCCTGCTGGTGTACCATTCAACTGCAACCCTTCAGACATGAATTTGGTGAGGGTCTATTGTTTCTATTATCCAACATGCATCTTGTTGAGAAATGTCTTTTCATTGCGCCCATTGTTCTCTCTCCACAATGCAGTTATTCTGCACTCCAACTCTAGTTCATATTTTATATGATGACATGATGCTATTCAGACTCCAACCAAATATAAATAGCTGTTTCCCATTGCATGTCTCACAGAAGTGCATTAATAAACATGACTAATACTCTCTATGTATTTACCAAATTACTACACCTAGCATATCATTTTTCCAAGATGCTATTTTTTTGATTTTATACATACATTATGTGTCATTTACACCCTAGTTACTTAATCGCGTAACACTTGTTGCTTCTCTTGATATTTGGAAATTCTGATTTCTTATTGATGATAGTAATAGTGAACCTGAAGAAGTGTTGTAGGCTAGCTGTCGTTTCACCCTCGTTTTCTTTTATCTAAATCCCCTTAGTAACTTTAAACCTTTTTATATATGATTTTAGGATGCACTTAGAGAGGAGCGTCAATGTTTGAAACAAGAGCAGGCTGAACTTGAAAGGCAGAGGGAATATCTCTCTGCTAATCAAAGCTGGGACTCATCATCTTCTGCTGCTCACCGATCTCTGCAGGATGTCTCTGCTCCTCACAGGGCTGGAAGCCACAATCAGCTAAATGTTCCAAACAGTAGCACTTCTTTAAACTGTCGTCTCTCCCTGCCTGACCTTCAACAGTCAGACCTAACGGTCCAATCCATGAACATTAATCATCACAGACCCCCTCCTCCAATCCCCTTATGTAAACCCTTATCTATTGTTGATCAAGAAAGGCATGGTGTGAATGGCTTTTCAAGGTAAGTTAAAATGTCTAGCTGTTTTTTTATCTATACCTACTTAAACTTTGTGAATTTTGTAAATTAATGAATCAACCACACCACTAATTGATTTGTTTAAAATTTTATTTTTATGAACCTTTGTTTTTCAGGCAAGGACAGCTGCAGTTGTCGTCTGATTCTATTCCAATGGTTGAGTCACATCACCATCGACATAATGCAGTTGGTTTGCCATCTGTACCTGTTGCGACCTCTCCTACATCATCAACAGGAAGTCAGCAGATGACTCGTCAAACACTTCATGCTCTGAGCGCGGCACCAAGAAGTAGGATTATTGCCACAGACACTTGGGTTCAAGCAAAACGTAAACCAGAAAGTCAACGAAACAGCAACCGCGACCATTATCAACATTGGCTTATACAGGTATTTATTTATTCATTAATTGCGTCAGCTTATTGGTCCCATGAGCTAAAAGCTTGCATTAAGGGGCAATACGAATTTTCCATGTTAATACATAGGTACAAGGCGGTTGTAAAAGGACAATAAATAGTTAAGCAGTACCAATAAGATAATTTTGAAGGTTACCATGATTTTACATTCTTTTTAAATTGATTAAATGACATATTGGTGAATAGGGAAGGTAGTTCATTATACAATTTAGTAGCAGCATTAAAAGAAGCATTAAGACCATGTTTGGTGGTGTGTACTGTGGATGTGTGCATTTTATTTGATGAGCGTGTTGAGTAACTGTGAATTTGAGAGTGTTTGGTGATAGGGATGTCTGATTTTATGATGTTGAGATTCAGTTTGTGAATATATATGACTGAGGAGAATTTGACTTGTACTGAGACTGGTAATATGTTGGCGTTTTTGTAGACAGTTTTGGTGTGATCAAGATATGGCATATTAAAGATGAGCTTGAGGGCTCTTCTTTGTATCATCCCAAGTTCTTGTAGTTTTTCTTTGGTACAGTGCTCCCAGACTGAGATTAGATATGTGATGTCCGAGTGGATTAAGGCAAAATAGATGTTCTTGGGGATGGTAGGATTTAGGCCAATATGCCGCAGCCTGCTGAGGACACCAACTACTGGGAGAATCTTGGATTTGATATGGTCGATTTGACATCTCGAGGTTATTAGTGGATGATACCTTATAGTTATGGGTATGAAAAAAAAGGTATTTCATTTTTTCGAGGTTTAAAATTAGTCTGTTGAGGTCCATCCACTTAGATGTAGTAGTGAGGTCCTCATTTATTTTCTTCATTATATTTTGTTCAGTGCTATCTTCATATATGAGTAGTATGTCATCAGCATACAACATCAATCTACCATGTAGCTTCAGTAAGGATATATCATTTATTCATATTCATATTCATATTTATTATTTCCAAAGAACATACATCATGATACACTTCAGAATTATCAATAAAAGAAATTGGTACAAATCATAGTTTTTTCTTAAGCACAAAACATTAAAAATTCATCCATACTATAAAAGCAATTATTGATTAAAAACTCCTTTAGCTTTTTCTTAAATCTATTTATAGGTTTTATGGTAAAAATGCTGTCCGGCAGCTTACATAAAATGTAATGAGAGTATTCTTTTACTGATTTCTTGTTTAAAATGTTATTTCTTATTTTATCCTTATTTCTAGTATTATAACAGTGGGGGGGGAGCGGGCGCACCTGGGTAGTGAGGGGGAGTTCCGATTCGAACGTCTCACTGCCACCTCTCGTTTTCGGACCAAGCTGTCGTTACCCTGGAAACTCAAGTGTCGTACAGTATCACAGTTTAAACTGCCGCACCAATTGTACTACAGTTTAAACTGTGATACTATTTGTGTTCTACAGTTATTAGTCACGACGCGTACTACAGTTCTCTCCGCGTGTCTCACCGCGTGTGCGACAGCTACAAATGACGCTTTTAACTGTCGGACACGTCGTGTACTACACTTATAACAGTTCACAAAACGGTATCACAGCTTAAACTGTAGTACACAAATGGTATCACAGTTTAAACTGCAGTACCATTAGTACTGCAGTTTAAACTGTCATACTGTACGACGCTTGAGTTTCCAGAGTACGGCCGTCGACCGCCACCGGTGCATCGACCACGGCGGGCATCCAAGCACTGTAAAAAGTTTTCATGATTTTACGAAAAAAAGTTACGAAATGCTATGTGAAAAATAATTTACGAAAATATTTCGTAAGTGTCAATTTACGAAACGTTTGGTAAAGTTACAAATGTATTACGTAACGAATGGGTTAAACGTCATAAAATTAGACGAAAATTATAACAATTTTCATACCGCCTAGATGGAGCTTTGGGTTTTACAAAGCAATTCGTAAAATAACGACGTATCGTAATTTGTTAAAAACAAGTTTGTGTAATAGAATTAAAATTAACAGAGAAAATTGCGTAAAATTACGATAATTGTTTTAACGGTGAGTGCAGTTGCCGCTGATGGCCTGCAGAGTCGTCTGGACGAGGGACGAGGGTCCCGCAGCCCGAACACATTCTCCTCGTTGCTGTCATTGGGCAGCCGTACATCCGATCCACGAACATGACGGACAGCCCCTGTCGGCCCAATCAATGTCACCCCTTCCAGCCAAAGGCGTGCACACGAAAAGCTTATGGACAGTTTTATTCACAGCTTACTGAGTTCTGTGTACGTGCTCTGCCTACGCACTTTCAATACGCCGACATGGACAAAATTTGTTCATGCTGGCGTATTAAAAATGCGTAAGCAGAGCACGTACACAGAACTCAGTAAGCTATGAATAAAACTGTTCATAAGCTTTTAGTGTGTGAGGTTTGCGCTTACGGCAAACTGCGGACTGCGGGAGCTCGTCGCCTGCCAGACGCAGGGTAGGCCAACCTGCGGCACACGCATGCGCTGCAGGCACGATGTTGCCTACCTACCAGGCGCTTGCCTCGGGCTCGCTGTAGACTAGGCGGGAGGCAGGGTACAGGACGGGGCCGCTGGTCTCGTCCTAGCCTGCTGCACCCGGGGACGGCACGACTAGAGTATGGATCATTGGGAGACACCCCACGGGAACAAGGTACGGGGTGGGGGGAGGGGCAAACCTAACGAGATTTCCTTATGTAAACGCTTGTGACAACTTTTCAAGTGAACCGGTCCTATACTCTTCAGTGGTGTCTTATGAACTCCGAAGCCTCAACCTAAACCTCTCATCTCGTGGAACTATTTTGTTGACCCATAGCTCTGTGGGCCTACCTACAACTTAGAAAATCAGCTCAATGTGTAGAAGTACCTTGCAATGTTGACATAAGAACACTGTATATTGTTTACGAACAACAGGTTCGTAATGCAAACCAAAACCCTCGTAGCTTGCGAAGATTTTGAAGCAATCTATTACAAAATAATTCGTTGGCTTACGAACAAATAGTACGTAATGCAAACCGATTGTTCGTAAGAACCTTTCTGGCCTTCCAAACAATTGCTTTGCAATGCAAACAATTTCCTTCCCACGAACAGAGATTTGGCAAGAATACATCAAGCTGACAAAATATTTACCTAATTTTTATCAAATAAGTCACAGCAGCTACATTGTTACTTGGGATTGACAACTTATTGACCAAAACTAAAAAGTGACGAATAGTTGACTGTTTTGCACACTGTAAAAGATGCTTGTTGAAAAACAACTCACGTACTAATGGCGGTAGTGTCGTAGATGAACAACAATGTTTTTTGGGGGAGAACAACAAAAGTTGTTGCAAAACAGCAATGTTTGTTGCAAAACAGCAATGTTTGTTGCAAAACAGCAATGTTTGTTGCAAAACAGCAGTGTTGTTGCTCAAAAACTTTTGCTGTTCTTCAACAACTTTCGTTCCTGCTTCACAGCATTTTTTGATTCTAATCAACTTTTGTTGTTGCTGAACAACAGTTGTTGTTTCTGTACAACTTTGGTTGTAAATATGCAATTCTTGTGTTTTTCGCCTAAACAATTGTTTACAACATTACAATTAGTTAACTATTGTCGTTCCTGAACAACTTTAGTTGTCCCTGAACAACTTTAGTTGTCCCTTAACAACTTTAGTTGTCCCTGAACAACTTTTGTCGTCCCTGAACAACTTTTGTCGTCCCTGAACAACTTTTGTTGTTATACAACAACACGGACAGTCAATGACAAAATTAACAGAGATTTTGCTGTTAATTCTAGATGTTATTTTTTACCGTTCACAGTGATAGAAATTGTCATCTTTACGTTAATGTGACATCACCCTATGTACACATGACTTTAAACCACTAGGGGCACGGAAGCCGATGCCGTAGAGATCCGTACGTGGCTCAGGGACTAGCAAGTCACCACTTTGATTGGAAGGTCGTGGGTTCGAATCCCACCGACCGTCGTGTTCTTGTGGCTGGGTCGTTGGTCCAAAGACACGATGTTGCTAACCCCATGACAGCCGGTGGCTGGGCCACCTGTCGTTGAGCCAGTGCGTGTGCACCGAACATATTAGTCAGTTCAACTAAACTTTTTTTCCATGCACACAAATAAATAAAGTCTGTACAAATGACCTGCGCGCCAAGAGGGACATCGAGCCGAGGGGTCGCCCACTGTCCGAGTGGGTGTGCAATGACGAGTTACGCGAGCTCTCGCGAGTATCCGCGAGTATCTTGCGATTATTTTTCTCGTTTACAATGTGTTTTATAGTGCGGGACCCCTCGCATCGACCGCTGCTGTAGGGTCGCGGCAAGACCGGACAGCGTTGCTAGGATCCGCTAAACGGTGGTCTGGCGTGGCGTAGTGACACTCGCGTGCTTGTACTTCCCCGCCTCTCTGGGAGGGAAGAATAACTACTTCGTGCCTCGTCGCTCTGGAACCCCATACACTGATAAACCAAGTATTCAACTGCTCAACACTTGTAAGTGTTCAAATGCAAGTTCAATACTTGCAAGTGTTTAATTAAGTAGTAATGCACTTGCAAGTGTTCAACTGGGTATTTGTGCACTTGGAAGTGTTCAACTCTTCTGTTGTACACTTCTCTAGGTCGGGCGCTTACTGTGAGGAAAGTGTTCAACAGAGAAGTTGCACACTTACAAGAGCACAAATAGTGAGTTGAACACTTGCAAGTGTACTACTACTAAATTAAACACTTGCAAGTATTGATCTTGCACACTTACAAGTGTTATACACTTGGTTTGTTGTCCAGGCTGCGACACAAATCAATCACAGCTTCCATATGAAGCAGCAGCGAGTTTGCCCATTTATCTCTTCCGAACCAGCATAATCAGCAAAATAGCTTTATGAGAACAAGCCCGCCACCAAGTCTCAGGGTCCCCCGGGGGGGGGGGGGGGGAAAACAACGCATTGTGTTGGGAAAAACAACCGCGCGTGTCTCCGTGTTAATATGTTTAGCCGATTAGCCCGACTGTTCTTCGTTTTACAGACCTGCAGGGTTGTTACAGGTCATGGAAAACCTGGAAGTCATGGAAAAGTCAGGGAAAAAAAATCGAGTCATGGAAGTCATGGAAAAGTCAGGGAAATCGATCGCCGAGTCATGGAAAATAATGAAAAATTAGAAAATTGCGAAATTTTCTAGCGTGCCCGTGGTCCTTTACGATTGTCAAATTTATTGTTCAAAATCCTTTTTTTTCTTTCGCTCGCTTCGCTCGCGAAGATTTCCATCTATTCTTTCGCATATTCATAGGTGGACATACGGGGCCGTAACAAGAGGTAAACTAATAACTTAAAAACATTTTTTGAGATGAAAGTCATGGAAAACCTCCAGTTTGGTCAGGGAAAAGTCATGGAAAAGTCAGGGAATTTGAAAATCCCAACTCTGTAACAACCCTGACCTGCTTGCTGTTCAAGCCAGTGCCACCAACAATAGCATAAGACCTGTCAAGGTACTAGTGTAAAGGGTGGTTGTGTGTGTATACATTGGTAGAACAAGTGTGCAGTATTTGCACACCAAACGTGTGCAAGTTGTGATTTTGCACATTACATGGTGTTTAACTCAGGTTGCACACTTGCGTAGTATGCAAATTTTAGACGTTTTTTTAACGTTTAAATTCTGCACACTTATATACACAGTTCTATTCTCTCAATAGGGAACCATTCGGTGTGCAGCTGCTATACGTTTCGGAAGTGCGTCGAAAGTTTAAACACAATTGACTTATAACATAGGTAGACACCAAAAAGTGTCGAGAAAATGCACACTTGAACTGAAACGTCAATTGACGTGCAAAATTAAACACTTGTTTTACCGGTGTACTATTGTGACAATCGAAATTAGTAAATCTAGGTTCCCGCTCTGCACTGGAAACCCAAGGGTGTGAATGTCGCACATTTGCAGGTGTGTGAATATCCATTTGTACACTTACAGGGGTAAACGTGTGAATTTTTCCTAGAAAATTCACACACCTGCAAGTGTGCGACATTCACACACTTGCGTTTCCAATGTGGAGTTTCAGACTGGAGGGGACACTTATCGTATCATACGTTTACAAAGTATCGCAAGCTATGCGGAAGGGCTTGTACTATGTATTACAACAAACGACGTACTGCCCTGTGCGGGTGGGCAA